CCTAAAAAACAACATTTAAATTGAATTTTAATAATTTTTTCGGATTTGTTTGAAACTTTAATCCGACCGATTCAGCCGATTCCCGATCCGAATCGATGATTCATCGATTCGGATCGGTTTTTGAGATGCCCGATCCTGGTCAACAATCCGCTTTTTAAATCATTGGTGAGATTTTTTTTTTTTTTTTTTTGTTTCATTGGGGTTGGTTGCCGGGTTCTAGGGATTACATCCCAAAATTTAGGATCTAAAGATACTCCTAGTGTAAGTTCTGTTTAAGGGGGTAGATGGATAGTATAGTCCGTTTTTTGCCTTTGAAATAATGGATTTTCAGTTTTACCAGCATTTTAACTTCAAACATGTCAATTAAGTTATTTAAAATTTTAAATAGCAATATTTCTGCAAAAAAAAAAAAGTTACCTCTTTAAGATTGGAAATAGAAAAGAGTCATGTTACACAATTGTCTTAATCAAGTAGCTTCCTTGCGTTATTGTTGAGCACGAGAGAGATGAGCTATCCATCGACGAAGGCTCGAGGGGCCAGTTGAGGTAGTTACTTCAATTAACATGAGGTAGTTACTTCAATTAACATGAACTCTAAAAAATTGACATTTGGACACGACACGTCCATACAATATAGAGTCTTTACGTATATGCACATGTTTATATACATATATTGAAATTTATATATATGTCACATATATATTTATATATTCAATAATTCATGCTTTAACATTAGTAAAGCGTCAAAAAAAATATTAATTTAAATTAAAAGCCTAAAAAATATTACTTTGCGAATCAAAATTTTATTCATAAAAAATTTCTTGTAGTCCAATAGAAGTTTGTGTGACAACATTAAAAAAAATCTAAAAGCTATTAATTATTATTAATTTAAGAAGTAATACCCTTATTGTGTAGCCATTAAATAGGACCGTAATGTATTCATCAAAACTCATATGATCACACCACATAAAAATATTTATATTTTTATTCTAAACTACGTTTATTTTCTAAAGTATTTTATTTTTAAAATAAAATATTACTTATTGAAGAATGATATTTCTAAACAAACAAACGCCAAGTTCAAAAACTGAAACATGTTTAGAAAAGTGACATGCCAAGAGACACTCCATGGAAGTGCCCTATGCCTTTCTAGAAGTGTTGACATGTGCGTTCTTGTACACTAAGTGCGTGCACATATGATCAGACCCTTGGACACGTGTCCATGTTTCACAGAGAGGGATAAGTTGAGCATGATTTAGCAACCTAGAACAAAGTCACTGCACACAATGTCTTTTAATCTTAGATGTTGTGGACATATTAAGATCCCTCATGAGCTTCATAGAATATGTTTGAGAAGTACAAAAATATTTTATAAATATTTTTAGGTGATTTGTGAAAGTTTGGATACATGTGGTGTCAACCATAAGTCCCACCCTAACTAAGGTCAAGTCAGCCATCTACAAGCCACACAAGAGGAAAGAAAGAAGTTAAACACACGCAAGCGTCACACAAGTACAAGCAATAGACAAATATTAGTAGCCCACTTTTATCCAATATAAATTTGCATAGGTATAAAGTAATGGATCTGCCCTTAGGATCTAGGCAAGGGATTTATATAGCCTCCACATACTCACTATATAATGGCCATGAAGGCTTGTACTACATTCACTACCTATCAACCTAGTGTGTTATTTATGTTAGTACTTCTCCACTCCTTCAGTACATGCCCATATGGAGCATTAGGGGGGCGCTCACAAATCCTAATCAACGTGCTCCACAAGTTTTTATTACCCTTGCACGTTAATTCAAACAAGCATGGTCTATTACAACGGTTTTGTACACACTCGGTCAACTGTATGTGCACACACCCATTCTCACATGGTCTACATAAGCACATGCCACGTCTGCTCGAGCTGCCCACGATCTAACCAACCAAGCCTCTACCTAATTTGGCCTTAGCCATCCTTCTGCTACTTCTTGCCCACGGTCTTACAAAAAAGGTCTTTAGCTACCATCCCAAATGTGCATGTGTCTTGCATCAATACCACACTAGCCTTGCATCTTGCTTAGTCAAGACTATGGGGTTCTCTTAAGTTTCGGCTTAGTGGTAGATATATAAGTTTGAGTGTTCAAATCCTTGAAACTAGTCCCAAGAAAAACAAAAATAAAGCTAGCCTACCCTTTTTTGTCTCGTAAATTTTGGCTTCTGACAATATCAGTTTGGGTGAGGAAGGTCAAGGGTTAAATCCTTGAAGTCTGTCACAAAAGAACCAAACAAAGCTAACTTACCTTACTTTTGTCTCTTAAGTTTTCGCTTAGTGGTAGACATATGAGTTTGGGTGGGAGATGTCAAGAGTTCAAATCCTTGAAGCATGTCCTTAGAAAACTAAAAAAACCTAGCTTACTTTTATTACTACACAAAAAGGACTAAGGGGTACACAAAAAGGACTAAGGGGTTTTACTTGTTAGGTTTATGTGGTCATTAAAGGCGTTATGAGAGTTTGTAACTAATATCTTGATATAATGGAATATAAAGGAGTGTGGTCCTTTGTGAGCAATGATAGGCAAATGTTATTTGTCGGTACTCTGACTTGGCTTGATGTGTTAGACTAGTCGAGTTGAAAATTCCAAGTTACCTCGGCATGAAATTGAATTAATGAGGGTTTGATGGGCCACCTCTTGATAGGGTCGGAATTGCCCAGATGTGTGAGCTGAAGATCTGTGTGACCCTTGTGTGCGATGGTTTCCTCTAGAGACGAGGGTCAAAGCCTCATCACTGAACCATCACACGACATATACATATGATAGTTGTAATGGGAAAGCAAACTATCATTGAGGGTGAAGCGTATACATGTATGGGAGATTAACCTTATTCATCGTAGAGTCGTGATTGCATCAGGTCTATGTGATCATGGTTCGTCTCTAGGGGCGAACCTAAAGTCCATAGACTACGATTGTGCCCCCTTTTCTATTGTTTGACTTTGATGGCCTAATCATAAACCCCTGCGATAGTCTATGGGTCATATGAACCACTGAATCAATTTGAGAAAGCAAGTGTAGATTACAGTCCACAGTAGAAAAGTGGAGTGCTCCAGCATTATTATAATTACTAGACCTTGTTGGATCCAATTCCTATTAAAATTATTTAATTTTAATTATTTTGATATTAAATGATTTTTAGATCAATTATTTGAATTTTTATGAGTATTTAGATATTTTATGCTTGGAAAATAGATATTCAATTTACAATATTCTAATATTTAGAGGAAAATAAAGTTTATTTCCATATTTCTAAAAAATATTCTATAAATTTTATAAAAGCTTTAATATTTGTTGGGGGCCATGGGGTCCCACCAAGACCACCCTGATGATGTGTGTGTGGCCCCCATAAGGGCCCCATAGGTTGCACGCCCCACATAGAGGGCGCTCTTTCCATTTTGTTTTGCCTTGTTAAACAAAGTTACCAAATTGCTTTTAAATCATAATGCTTGATCTAAGGATTGGATGGTTCAGATCTCTTAGCCCTAATCAATAATATTGATTAAATCTGCATAACGATAACTAACTCTAGCCTATGAAAAATTTATAAATAGAGATCCCCTCTCCCCATAATCTTTATACGTCTCGCTTCTCTTTCTACTCTCTCTCTAGAAGGGTGGCACGCCACCCTTAGGGCTTCTCTCTCTCTCTAAGATCTTCTCTCTCTCATAATATCTTAAAGGGGCACACCCCACCTAGGCTTATGAAGGGGGGCCATGCCTATAGCCTAAAGCATTAAGGCCCTAGTACTTAGCCCATAGTAGTTCCATATGGTTTCAAGTTTTGTAGGGTTTAGCATTAAGCTTTTCCCACACTTGGTAGATCTGATATAGAACATTGATCCATGTATCATTAGAGGAAAAAACCCGGCGTGAAGCATACTAAGCCCAGTTAAGATAATCTCTGGCATTTTCGTTTTATGCTTTGTTTTGATCTTTTATTCCCATAACTATTATGTGTTTCATGATCCCAATATCAACTTTATGCAATTTTATTTGTGCAATAAAAGTATTGCTAAAGTTGCAATAAGTGATAGTCATTAGGATTTTTAGTGTTTTTGTTGTTTCTTATTATGTATTTGCATATCGATAAGCAATCTGATTGGTGAAAATAAAGAAAAGATAAAAAAATTTTACTCAATATACACTTGCCTAGGTTATATAGTCCAATTTTCATCACCATCCTCCTATAGGTTTGTCGGACTACAAACCGGCTTACCAAGAGAGAACCAACTTCGGTAAAGTCGCACAAATCCACTCAATACTTGCAAGTCTAATATTTGTTCCGCCGCGGGGAACACTACCTTGCTTAAACTGAAGATTTGATAAATGATTGGAGGGCATTTTCCCTTAAAACAAATAGGATAGAATCTTATTCCAGAGACAAAATAGCTGCGGATAGAATTAGATAAGTTGAAAACTCAAAGGTGGTGTTTGATAAACTTTCATTGCAGTGTCTTGGGAATCACCCCTACTGTTGACTTCCTGGATTCTGAAATCGCAAGTGAAAAATAATAAGGTGAAAGCTAGAAACCCTGTTTGATCAATTGTGGTGCTAGTAATTTCACCTATTTAGGAATGTGAAAGCTGGAAACTGCATGTGATACTGTTTATTGTGTATTTCATGGATATGACATGCGCAATGTAGTTTTTAAAACAAATTTTATAATTAAATAAGGTCTCTTCTATTCAGCCAACGTATTACCAAAAATGCAAATAGATTAAAAAAATATCAATATTTATATAAATATTGAAGAATATTGTCATCAAGTCCATCTTCATCTAATGCTCTCTCTCTACACCCACATGTTACCTGAAAACTCAAGTATCAGTGACATTTGGGCATGAGGCAATTTAAATATATCCAATGTATAAAAGTCCTCTGCCCATTTTTTCTTTAAATATTTATTCAAGCCAAAAAAATGAGAAAGAAAACATATATCATTTATTTGACAAATAGATATTTAAAAGTTTGAAAGCTAACCATTCAATATTGCCGCTACACCAATATATTACAAAAATGATAAGTTTGTATTTTTTGAAATAATAACATGAAAGCAATCACTTGAACAAAAAGATAATCAGTGTATGCATGTATGCATACACTAATGATTCAGCGTTGTCGATATTGTCCCCACATTTCTGCCATAATTTGCACCTTCAATTGTACTCCAACATTATGGGCAGACCTACTCTGAGAGTTTAGATCCTCAAGTTAATCTTCTTCTACTTCGTCTTCATCTGATTGAGCTCTATCACGCAACTCGAGATCTCTCCTCACCTCGCTAAGAACTTGGCATTGAAATGCTCTCTCTAGATTAGAGCTCTGTGCTGGCCTCATTCGGATATAATTGTGCAACCACACCAACAATTGTATCATGGCATGAAAAAATATAACAGATACCACGGAAATAGGGACATACTTCATAAACAACATCCAGTGGGCAATTGAAACAAATGAATAAACGTTTTGTTTAACCAAACTAGAATTTAAGACATTTCAACTTTTTACTTGCAATATTTCGAATATTAACAATCTGATCAATAAATGTTGAACTGTAAGCCAATTCATTAGGGGAAAAGAAACAATAATAAGAAAAAACATCTTAAGCTTCATAAGACGGCAATCTGTCATAAATTTATATATGGCTGAACATGAAGCCTCTCATTGTCCTAGTAAGAAATTGAACTATCTAACATGGTTCGAAACTCAAAATTTGACTTGGACTTGATGAGAGGCCTAATGAGTATGGGGGGGAAAACAATAGCAAGACATAAACATCTTAATCTTCATAAGATGGCAATCTTTCATAACGTCACATAGGGCTGAACATGAAGCCTCGCATTGTCCTAGTAAGAAATTGAACTATCAGGGTTCGAAACTCAAAAATTGACTTGGACTTGATGAGAACCCTAATGAGTTACAAGTGACTGGACTAAAAAATCATCCCAATTACCCCTTATATGTTGTAAATGAAAAGAAAAAACTATAACATTATACGTTCTATCTGCATAAATTCATAAAACATTACCTACAGCAACAAATACAAATGCTCTGACCAGATCAAAATAGCTAAAAAAGAGAACAATAATACTCTTGTCCAATAAAACAATCGACACAAACCAAACAAGTAAACATTTGTGATGGTCAGTCGATTGGCAATGTTCAAGTCTCAAATATATTCAACTTCTAGGATACAACTATCATATTGAAAAGAATTGAAATTGGGATAAAACAACTATCACATTGAAAAAAAAAAATGTAATTAAATAAGGATCCTTCCATTCATCCAACATATTACCAAAAATGTAAATAAATTAAAAAAATACCAATATTTATATAAATATTGAAGAATATTGTCATCAAGTCCATCCCCATCGCACATAAATATTGAAGAATATTGAAACCATATTGCCACAGATTTCTTATTGTTGACATGCATTTTGTGCATCAAACAATACAAACTCAAAATAATTAGTTAATCATGAATCTAGATTTACAACACATAAAAATCATAAAATAAAGCTATTGCAGTTCCTAAGAACTCGTAGACAATGAAAAAAAATCACTGATTTGGGGTTTATCAGCCAAATTAGCAGCAAAAAAAAAAAACTCATTGATTTGGGATTTAACATATAAAATAGCATCAAAAAGAAAAATTGCGTTATTGCAATCATTTGACGTTTAACATCATAAAAAACAGTAAAAAAAATTAAAAACTCACTGATTTGGGGGTGAGCCAAAATAGAAGCAAAACAAAAAAAACCTCATTGATTTGGGGTTTATCATATAAATTCGTCGGGGAAAAAAATACATTATTGCAGTCATTTGGGGTTTAACATCATAAAAACAATAAATAAAATAATTAAAAACACTGATTTGGGGTTTATCAATGAGTTTACTCAAATATTTGGAGGTTATCAGCACAAATAGCAACAAAGGAAAAAAAACAAAAAAAAGTTATTGATTTGGGGTTTATTAGTGTGTGAACTCACTAATTTGGGGTTTATCAGTAAGATAACTCACTATTTGTGGTTTATGAGCCAAAATAAAAGAAAACAAAACAACTCATTGATTTGGGGCTTATTATAAAAAATCGCAACAACGAAAAAATTGATAGAGCTAAATCAAATGAAGATTTAACATAAAAACAATAAAAAGCTCACTGATTTGGGGTATTCCTCTCTGAGGGTATTCTTTTGTGAGGTATTCGTCTTTGATGGTATTTTTCTCTAGAGGGTTTGCAGAAGGTAGCTCAATGAGACTGATTTTTGTAGAGAAAGGGCCTCACGGGTTCACGTCTTCCCTATAGGGTTGTAGAGGGTAGCACAAAATTGCTGTTATAGAGAAAGGACTTCTTCACGTCTTCTCTATAAGGTTGCAGAGGACTGCATAGAGTGGTTGAAAAAGGGCTTCCGGGGTTAGGATTGCAGAGGGCAAAGTGCTTTTGTAGAGAATCTCACGGGTTCACATGGGCTTCCCGCATGATTATTCATTTAGCAAAAACTGTTTTGCATCCTCTCTCTATGCGCAACGACTTTGTAAATGAATGTGGAAAAATAGGTATTCCAACTTTTTCGAGTTATATTGCTATCAAACAGGAGAAACTTGTGGTCGTAAGTGATCGATTTTTACCTTTTACACAGGTATCAAACTTAGCCAAAGTTTTTATTTTATTAACAGTTACAAAACTCTTGCATTCTTTTCCTTCCAGCGAAGAAAAAGACCGACCTATCACTTGATATGAAAGGACCCTCGGGACAACCACTTCACCCTTTTGTTTAAAAACAAAAAAAAATCATAAAAATAATTTCCATCCACATCCATGGGTTGAAAGATCTGAATGACCGTCACTCACTTCCCCTCCTGCCATTTGGCGGACGTGGAAAGCACAATTTCTACTTGACAAAGTTGGACGGACGGAGTCCACGCGGGAAGGGAAAGAATGATAATATCATATACTCCCGTGGGAGAAATACTGCTTATTTAACCCACTTAGAATTTGGGGATGCAATCTTTTAAATGCATAGATCAACCTTAACAAAAATTGGATGTAATCTTTCAAATAGCACCGTTTGCGAATGTGAAAAATTAATGTCTAGAGATTGAATGGAGACCATCCACTTTTTAAATGGTAAGATCTAAAAAAACTCAAATTTTTTCTTTTTTTTAGAATAATCATCTAGTGAATCTAGTGAGAAAGAGCATATTATACTTGCTAATAATAATAATAATAATAATTATAATGAGAAATCCCTAGTGTATTCTTAGAAGGGTAGAGGGGATACTTTCTATATTTCTCGTATTGTATAGATGTTACATACTTCCCCTATCCTGCCTTTCAATTTAAATCAAGTGAGCCACTGATCATTTGATCCAGTATCCTGCCTTTCAATTTAAATCAAGTGAGCCACTGATCATTTGATCCAGATTTGACGTCTTATAGTATTTTATTTTTAATTTTTTCTCTGCAAATCATATGTATATAAAAATTGGTACACACCATCATCTCAATAGATACACTTAAAAAAATACTACAAAAACTATTTTCAATAAAATAAAATAAAATAACCAGAATGCCCTAAAACTTTGAGGGGGTATTTTGGTTATTTTATTTGGGGGCAAATATATTTTTATATATTTTGCAGTTGCGTGTCTAAGAGAAGAGTGAACGTCCAAAATTTGATATCAAAATGTTTTGTAGAAAAAAAAAAAAAACAGTATAGAGTCATGGTATTGTAATTGGGACCATCTAAGTGAGATCGAATATATATTAGGGAAGTATAAAAAACGATAGAGAAATGGGTTTGGTTGTGAAAAGACGAAAAGAAGCGAAATCATCGCACGTGAGGAAAGATAGAAAAGAAGGCAAGTGGGCGGCGCCACTCCTTCACAAAACACAAGAAGAAGAAGCAAATCGACAGCAACCCCCACAATAAAACCATCTCTTTTTATCAATGCGTTTCCTTTCATTTATCTATTTTCATATATCATTATATAAAATACTCATTATTCATTCCTTAATCATATATGTTTTTCCTATAAACCATCATCATATATTTCCTTTTCCCTTCTTGTCCCGATCGATCCGTCAGCGCACAACCATACATCGCCCAAAATACAATCATCCAGCCGTTCATACCAGAATCACACATTTCAAACCCACCCCCAAACCTTATAAACCCCAAAATTACCCCCAACAATGGATCAAATTCCTGAGCCCAGTTTCAGGTTCTCCTTCACCACTGAGCAACAGACTCGGCGAGTTTGCCGATCCGCTGTATGAACTCGGGAGGGAGCTTCGGGAGCGGCCTTCGTGGCTTGGCGAGTCTGAAATCGAACCCTAAAGCCTCTGAGACCTCTTGGGAGCTCCACCCTGCTCTCCTCAACGAGTCAGAGAGCCCATCTGCTTTCAGAAGGAGCCCCTCCAAAACCGCTTGGCCGTCCACCAAAACCACCTCCGCTTCTTCCATTGCACATGACGAAACTGCCATTACCTCCTCTATGTCCCTTTCTTCCCAACCACCGCTTCTCAAAACCGCTGACAATTGCTCCAAATAGCCCTTAACCCACTCCGGCAAATGGCGATTTTCCGTCAGCAAATGGTGATTCCTCGGCGACCTAGAGAGGTCTTTGTCAACTTGGGATGAGGAAAACAAACTTTCCGGCGATTCTGTTGCCGGAATCCTTCGCTTGTCCACAAGGTCTGACCAAAACTCGATCCACCTGGGGGTCCTTGGGGCAACACCCTTCTCATCGCACCATGATTTTCTCCTGCAACGACTATCCAGGCTTCTCCTGGATGCCTCCTCTCTCTGTGAGCTCGCTGATTTTTGACGCCAAAGACTTGCTGGAAAGCCGCCATCACTAGGTGGAAGACCGCCAGTGCCCGATAAAAAGCCAGTAGCGAAACCGGATTCTCGATCGAAGAAGTCGGCGAGGTCAAGGCCACAGAAAAAAGAGAGATTCTTGTTGACAAAGAGAACAGGGTTTCCTGCCAGACAGGGGTTACAGGGAATGTAACAATGGCCAAAGAGGGGGACAAGTAGAGGGACCTTTTTCAGGGCAAGCCTTGCGATTTTGACCGCCTGTTCGGGATCGGAGGGCCGAGAACCCCATGATTTGGACCAGAACTTGCCTTGGGCGACCTGGTAGGAGATGCCCGCGACGGGTAGGTTGAGGGCCATACGCAGCTGATGGGCCCCGCCGGATCGCCAGTCAGGGAAGCCAGGGCCGACTGGGAGGCCCTCGCGCAGGATGCCCCTGAGGTCAGGAGGGAAGGTGAAGCCGAACTCGGCCTCGATGCGAGTGAATTCATCATCCGAAAGGCCCCTGTGGACGGTAACTCCCGAGTTTCGGAGGTGAGAGAGGGCTTTGTACGCGAGCGAAGAGAATGACAAGAGGCCGCTGCCACCATTGCGGGACGCCGAGTAGTGGTTATTGCCGCTGTTGATGTTGGGATTGTTGGCGCGCGCGGAGAGGCGTTTGAGGCCGGCGACATGGGCCTGCGAGAGAGGTGTCATCCTTCGCTCCACGTCCACCATTGGAACCCTAACGACTCTCTCTCTTCTCTGAGGGTTTCGTCGAGTTCTAGAGTGACAGGAGAGAGTATCTGAATATATCAGAGAGGAGAGAATGAGAAGATGACTGCAATTCTTGTTGAATTTGTTAGAGAGAGAAAGAGAGATAAGAAGATTGGCAGGCAATCACTCAATCTCGTCATGGCAGAATCCTAACACTGCTTCTGCGACATCTAAGTTATAGAGATCCAAAGGATGAATTTATTTGTGTGAAGAGAAAGGAAAGAGATGCAGGGGGGATGGAATTTGTGCGCTGAGAGAAGGCGAAGAGAGTGAGGGAAAGCATTTATAGTAGAGTGGAGGTGAGCGGGGACGGCGCCGATCGTAACTGGGCCGGAGGGTGGGTCCGGGCGCCTGACCCACCTCAGATCTGCTTCGAACCCTTACCTTTCTTTTAAATGTCAACTACTCACCGCTCCACTCTCATTTTTTACAGGCTCCTTGTATTTGGCTTTTTTAACTTTGGGAAGCATCTGGGTCTGGGCCCATTTGTTTGGCCTCGTATTCTCAACGTCTCGGAGACGGGGTTAGTTTTGGAGGGGGGACAAAACATAATGAATATGAGTGAAAAGCGCGTTGTCTAGTTTAGAAAAGAATATTGTTAAAATCAAGAATTTACTGCATTTGTGTAAGAAATATTTGTGCTCATTTCCCTTTATGTCAATTTTTTTAAAAAATTTATTTGTACCCTGCGCTCATTACCCCATTTTTCATCATTCTTTCAAAATTCCGCTTTGTCCCATGTACTTACTTCCCCCACTTTGGATTTTCAAAGTCCGCAATCCATTGGCTTTAGATGTTGAAGGCTCAATGTGAGAATGCCCTTACTGCAAACCTTCATGATCCGGTGGGCAAGTATTTTCATCTAGAAGGCAAGTATTTTCATCAAGAATTTTGTTGTAACTGATAACCTTAAAGGCCCAAATTGGGGCATAAAATAAATAGAAAAAAAAAGAAAAAAAAGGAATTGGATGCATTTTAAAGAGATATTTAGAGGGAAATGTTGGGTTTGGTGATAGCCAAAATCACAATACTCATATATTTTTTTAAAAAAATTGAGGGTATTATTGTAAAAAAAAGAAAGATGATTTTTTTTAAAAAAACAAGAAAGTGATATCCATTAAAAAAGAGTCAATGAAAACATAATAACTATCATTTGAAGGTTCACCCTTTTGGAGATTATGGGAAGGGCTCTCCAAGATGGAGATAGGTCTCCAAGGGAGAGACATGACTTCCGAGAGAGAGGCGGTATTCTTATGAGTTTTGAGTTAACAAGGCTTCCACTTCTAGAGAGTGAAAATCTCTCGATTGTTCTCAAGGTACTCTTGCTGATAGCCATATAGCAGTGGGAAAAATGTTGATCAACGGTTTTACTCGATCGAGAGAGTGGGTTTAGAAGGGAAGATCAGTGAGGGTTTTTTATTGATTTTTAGAGATATGTATTATCTCTTGTAACCCAAAATTGTAATATTCATTGTAATAGTGGATTTATACTTATCGATGCCATAGATATCCCCTACGAGGTGAGCCACATAAATCATGTGTTGTGGTGGTGTACTTTCTTATATTTTCTTTATTTCTAGTACTCGATTTATAGTTGTATCCATCTAAATTATATTTCGCCAATCATGTACATGATCTTGAGTGGGATCTCGATATTTGAGATTCCCAATTCCGCTCAAGCTAAAAGATTCTGAGAACCCTACAGGAAATGAAATTGAATTCTCTTGGCTAGATCTCAATTTGTTATACATTCCAAAATAACCATGGGTACTTTTTCTTTTGTTTTTCCAATGCCTTCATCTTCACTAGGATGTTTAATCTCATTTTGCAAGTGGAGTCCAAAAGGATCCATTCTCCATGATTTTATTTTAGCAATTTCTAGATGGGTTGTAGCCAACAGGCAAGGGGAAGTATTTGGAGGAAACAGCTGCCTTGAGCCTATTTTCCCTTTTAAGATTTTTATTATATTTAACTCTACTTGCGGATGATTGGGTGTAACTTTATTTTCTTTTTCTTTAGGCTTTCCCCTTTTCTTTGTGCAAAGGCAATTAGAGTGGGGTCGGTTTGATTGGTCCTCTGTTAACAACTAGGCATCAACCCCCTCATCATTTTGTTTTTGGTATTTCCATAAGAGTTTCAATGAAGGGTGATTATAAAACTGCCTACTTTTGAATTTCTCCTTCGAACAATCAACGGTTATATTTGTTCTTCGGATATGAATGTGTAAAAACCTAGGGAGCTTTTCCATTGGATGCCCAACGGTAATATATTGCTCATTCTAAGGGTCTTTAATGAGTTATTTCGAAATAAGAAAGGGTAAAAAGCAAAAGGCCATACTTGACATTAAAAACTTTGTGAGTTTCAAACGTTGTCATTGGACATGTGCGGGGTTGGAGAGAGAGAGAGAGAGGTCATATGCTCTCCATGACATGACTTTGATACACACTTGCCAGTGTGACGTGCAACGGGCGTTTTTTAAATTTCGATCTCAATTGATACAGTATTTGTAGTTGGATGATATACCTTAAACAATCCAATTAAGGCCTCCAAATTTTATCATAATATAAATTTTTGGTGAAAAAATTTTTTAGGATTATTTTAAAATTTACTTTTATATTTAATTCTAAAATTTTAAACTTCAAAAATAGTTAAAATCAAACAGATCTATAAAAATATGAAAATCTTGAAAATGGACGGCCTGAATAATGTATTGCAAGATGCAATATTTTTTGGACTGAAAATCTTTTTTCTTTCATATTCACAAATCTCGATGTCGAGATGATCAATTAGAGGTTTTTTCAATATTAAAACGACCTTTTCTGATAGATTTTTAAGGTGCGTCTATAATTCTACATTTTATGGTTGCAACCTTATATAAACTTTTTCTAATAACAAAATGGTGGGGTTTGTATAGAGCCGAGGCTCTAAACAATTAAAGTAAGGCACACCTTCAAATAGTATCAAGAAATGTGCTTTCAATAATGAAAATCTTTGTGATAGCTTTAAAAATATTTTCATCTTTAATTATAAAATTTAAAGCTTCAAAATCAGGGTAGATCAAGCAAATCTATGAAAACTTAAAAATCTTGAAAATTGACGGTCTAACAATATGTTACAAGATGTACTATTTCCAAAACTTGAAATCCATTTTTTTTATCATGTGCATGTATATCGATGTCGAGATGATCAATTTTAATATATTTGCGCATCAAAACAACCTCTTTTGGCGAAAGTTTTGACTAATTTGATTTTTTAGAGCCTCGACTCTATATAAACTTTTTCTTATAAAAAATCAATAATAACAAAAATCAGTAACAGTAGGAGTCTCGCACATTTCATTCTCCTGAATAGCCTAAGCCACCATTCCCAATCCAGACTGATGATAACCTTCAAAGAGGAAAATTGTTACATGCGTCGCCACCCGCATTTCTACATTTGCTCCTCTGCATTATAAAGCATCAATCTTAAAGATGGATGCAAATGGGTGGTCCATATAAAAACAACTGAAACTAACGATTTAAATTTTTTCTTCATAAAATTATAATTTTGTTTTTTAAAATTTATTTATTTTTTCATATCCATGATCTCCATTTTAGAGATTACATGTCCTTAAAAATTGGATCCGAATATCCATCTCAAAGATAGATTTTTATGAGTGGACTCATTTCTACATGGACTCATAGAAACCATGTCCCAGAAAAAAAGGGCAATGAAAGTTGAGTATTGTTAGGGCTGGCAATGACCGTCCCAAAAAATGTACGGCCTGAACCACAAACTGCAGCCCGAGGGCAGAGCTAGAGCCTGTGTTGGCCTGGCCTAGCCTAGCCCTCTCTTTTTGTTATTTTTCTTATAATTTTTTCTTCATTTGTTTTTGGCTTGGCCCAGCCTGTGTCCTATAAGAACATAGGTCAGGCAAAGCCCAAAGCTAGCCCGGCTCGTTGCCACCCTTAATACTGTGTAAATGCTAACCTTGAAACTAGTCTGACATCAAAAAGGGGACAGAAGGATACTTCTTCTCAAAGACCCACATCTTTTTTTATCCAAGGGCATCTCGAAAAAGTTTTAGAAGAAGAATCCCTAGGCCCCATGCTCAGATCGTAAGGAGTAAGCAAAGGACCAAGCCTTACCATGGCAAGGACCCACAAGAAGGGTCCTTGTCAACTATATCTGCCCTAGGGGCCCCTCTTGGAGCACCTCTACACCCTCTCTCCACGGCAATGCCCACACCGTGCTCCGTTTTAGCCTACATAGTTGCTCTCAATAATACATGGAAACCAACAGTCACTGTTGTCTTGTTTCGGTGGCTTGTCTGTAACACAATTTGTCTAGTTTGATTTGGACGGCTTAGATTCGTCCGAGGCAAGATCAAGATGGACTTAGATGTTTGTTTGAGTGGGGTCAGGCTTTATGTGCAGTTTTGTCATGCATATAAAGGCTTGCTTGGAGGTATAAAATCACCACTTTGTAAAGGGTGTGCACTACATTCCATCTAATTGTACTTTACTTCTTGTTTATTGAAGAGGAGATGCCATGCATTATAATAAGGATGGGGTTTCTATGAGTCGCCCGACTCATATGTACATAAGCGGGCCCACTAAAATTCATTTTAGATATTCTTTTCTTTTTTAGATTCTTTATTAAGGCCGAGATGATAATAACTATGAAAAAAAAAAAAAAATTTTTTTAAAATTAAAATATAAATGTTTTTGTATTTTTTTGTGCACCGTCCATATCTTATTTACGGACAATACAATTTAGATAATGTCCATCTTTAGGATGGACATTTGTATGTCAGCGGGTTCTTGCGACCGCTGACTCATGAAACAATTTTTCCTATAATAATGAATTTCTAAACTCTCTTTTTTCTTTTTTCTTTTTTCCCTTTGATTGTTCAGTGAATTTCTTAATCTTTGGGCTTCACTTGATCAAAGGTGGATGATACTTCATCCCATGTGCCCGTGCTCATTTGAAAATTGGCCTAAAAAGGTGCTTCCTCCTCTAGGCATATTAAGATACTAACCTCTTCTTGCACGCGCACTCATAACACGTGTGGCTAGCTATATTAGCATGCCACTTTGGATGGTTGAGATGGGGCTTATTTCAAGATGGACGGCTCTAAAATGATGAGGGCTATGGGAAATGGGGACCTTTACTTGAAACTTTAAAAGTTAGGTCATTTTTAATAAGAACAGATAAAGGATGAAAGAAAGGGAGTGGATGGGTTCGAGGATGATTATGGGATTATTAAAGGAACTGCAAAAGAGGTGGGTGGAGATTAATTAATGCATTAATTGTTTTTAATATTTATTTATGCAATTTGAAGGTACCTCCGGGACCGTTTGAGAAGTAGGAAAAGATTG